TTCAAAAATGAGCATCTGAAATGAACAGACACTTCTCAGACAAATAAGTAAAATCAGCAAATAAATATATTAAAAAATGTTCAACATCACTGGTCATTCGAGAGATGCAGATGAAAACAATTCAGATTTTACCTCACCCCAGAAAGAATGGCTACTATCAAGAAATCAACCAGCAACAAATACCAGCAGGGTTGCAGGGAGAAAGGAACCATTCTGCATTGTTGATGGGAGTGGTGACTGGTGTAACCACTGTAGAAATCAATATGGAGATACCTCAAAAAAAGTTCAGGTTAGAGGTTCCATTTTACAGAGCTATCCCTCTGCTGGGTATCTTTCCAAAAGAATTAAAAGAATCATACCACAGTGATCTATGTACACCTGTGTTTATAGTGGCACAATATGTGATAGTTAAAACTTGGAAACAGCCCAATTGCCCCTCAACTAGAGACTGGATAAAGAAGATGTACTTTTTCTATAGAATGGAGTACTACTCAGCCATAAAGAATGAGAAACCAGAGATATTTACAGCTAAATGGATCCACATTGAGGCCATAAGATTAAGTGAAATAAATAGGACACACATGTGTAAATACCCAATAGTTTCTCTGGTGTAAAAAACTAAAAGTATAAATAAGGCTCAAAATGTATATCTGATAATATGAAATAGGAAGAAAAGGCTAAAGGAGCAGGGGAATTGGGAAGGGTAGGGGAAAGGAAAGAAGAGAAAAGTAAAAATATGAGAAAAGAAAAAATGGAAGCAAAGTCTTTGTAAATAGGGAAGGGTGGCGGGGATGAAAGGAGGCCAGGGAATGGGGAAATAATAAGAATCAAGATACATCATATAAAGGTACAAGATCCCAATGACGAATGTAGCTAACCATATTGTATGCTTCAAATGTACTAATAAACTTAGAAAAAAAGAAGAGATTGCATCAGTAGTCAAAAACCTAATAAAAATCTTTGTGATGCGATAGCTTCACAGGTGACTTCTCTCAAACATAACAGTAAGAATTAATGCCAAATTCCTCCTTTAAAAAATTTAAGAGGAAGGAATGCTAGAGTCTCCTGCAGTCTCTAGTCCCCAACTGCCCAGTGCACAACACAGGGTTGAAGAAAAACTTAAGGCAGAGTTAAAAAGAAAGTGTGAACTGAGATGGCCAAGATTCTTTGGCAAAATGCACTGCTGGCCCGTCTTCCAACAAATTTTATTATTTGTCAATCAGAGTAAAGGTGCATGTATATATACGTGTGTGTGTGTGTGTGTGTGTGTGTGTGCGCGCAATACATGAAATTACCATGGAAATGAATGCAGGCAAAGCTTTATAGAAAGGTCAAAGCATTTCAGATTAGAAAGATAGAATATATGGCTGTAATTGGACCACTGTCCTTCAAGCTATGAGGGCACTAATTGTGGGAAAGGGATTTGGGTGTGATTCACATATGTAAATACTGAATAGTTTCTCTGGTGTGAAAAACTATAATAGTACATAAGAGACTGATGAGATAATTGACAATGTGAAATAGGAAGAAAAGGGCTAAAGTTGTAGGGAAAGTGGGAAGGGTAGGGGAAAGGTAATAAGGGAAAAAAATAGGAGAAAATGAAAAAATGGAAATAAAGTGTTTGTAAATGGGGAAGGGAGGAGGAGGTGAAGGGAGAGCAGCGACAAGGGGAAAAATGAGAACCAAGACCTGTCATGTAAAGGTACAAGATCCCAATAATAAATGTAACTGTACTGTATACCTAAAATGTACCAATAAACTCAATGAGAGAAAAAAATAAGGATGTGGGTATGATTATTCCAATGTCAGCTACAGATGTTTTCCTGTATTAGCCTCACAGCTTCACAAGCCATTCCTGTGGTCTTGGCTGTGGCCATTAGTGGGGAGGTGGTGTTAACCTGCGTGCTACTGCATTACTCATGAGGTATTTCTGTGAGTCACATGACTTCAGTCAAACTCGCTTCCTAAAGAAAGCCAAGCTAGGGGTTTAACTGTTTGCAGCCTGCACTGCTTACAGCCTGTTTTTACCATAATCAGTATTGCAGGCTCTGGCAAAGGAAAGTTTTCTAGCATCTTTTATGAGGCCAATATTACCTAGATACCAAAGCTAGATAAAGATATCAAGAGAAAAGAAAATTACAGGCCAGCAATTTTTATGAATATGATTCAAAAACTCGTAATGAATATTTGTCAAGTATATCCAAAAAACAATAAAACACTTATACCTGCATGACCAAGTGAGACCTATCTCAGGATGTAAAAGGTTGTACAAACTAAGAAAATAATTGATGCGATACACCATGCAAAGGAGCAAAACAGTCTCAATAAAAGAAAAAATATGAGAAAATGAAAAAATGGAAACAAAGTTTTTGTAAATAGGGAAGGGAGGAGGGGGTTAAGGGAGGCAGGGGTATGGTGAATAAATGAGAACCAAGACCTCTCATGTAAAGGTACAAGACCCCAATGATGAATGTAAAGTACTGTATACCTAAAAAGTACCACTAAACTCAATGAGAGACAAAACAAATTTAAAAAATGTATTCAATCTACTTCACTCTACACACAATAATTAATTCAAAATGATTCAACAGCCTACATTTAATAGCTAAATCTATAAAAGGCTTAGAAGGAAACATAAAATACTCCTGATTGGATAGTGGAATCACACAATGCACACAAAAACTATAAACAAAACATAAAATAAGCTTTTTAAAAATGTACTACTTGCTAAATTAATTGCAGGACAAACTTTTTAATAAAACTAGGGAATAAGTATTATGGTGATACTGACTGATCAGGCCTTTCAAATGTGGCTAAAAGGCTTAAATTGAAGTGTTAAGTGAGAATAAATACAAGAAAAAGTAAGTTGCATATACAGCATTCTCACAAGTATTTAATATGCTCACTACATGAGTTTACTACTCTGTGTGTGAGACTATGGAAATAAGCGTGGCGATTCCTCAAAAAATAAACAAAAGCAGCCATTTCCTTCTAGGCACCTTCCTGAAAATTTTCAAGACACGTTACAACAGCGAGACATTCATACCTATGGGGACAGCAGCACATTCGTAACAGCCACACCTTGGAAGCGACCCATGTGCCCATCAATAGATAGACCAAGAAAAGGCGGTATTTGCCCACAGTGGAGGACTACTCTTCTATAAAGAGGGAAAAGATGAGTCATTTGCAGAAAAATGGATGCACTTTGAGACCATAATGCTAAGAGAAATAAATTATTCTTGCAACCTAAAAGATCGTGGAGTTCCTTTTTTTTTTTTTTTGGTACTGGGGATCGAACTCAGGTCCTTGCACTTGCAAAGCAGGTGCCAGAACCACTGAACTAAACCCCCAGCCCCGCAGAGTTTCTCTTATATGAGAAACTCAAAGTAAAAATAAAGAGAAAAATAAAAGGTAACTACTAGAAAGCAGAGAGATAAATCTTTTTCAAGTGGAAAGTGGACTAAGAGTTGGAGGAAGGAAAGAGAAGGAACAGGAAAGGGACTAAAAATACATAAGATGTGTTATATACCAACTCCCCACAATAAATGGAATCGTTATGTAATACAAACATGTACTAATAAATGTTTTAAATTGTATATGGGAGATAGACAAGCAAGTGTTGTTTTTCCTTTCTACTCTTCAAATTATCTTGATGAACATGTATCATGACTACAGTCACAAAATAATTGTACTTTTAAATTATTTAATATTCAGAAACTTTAGTTAAAAGCAAGCAGAGCTTTAATAAAGGTTCTCTCTTGACAAGCAAGATGCTTACACTGGAATTTTGTCTTCTCAAGCATAATATTCCTCATACAACACACGTGAAATGGAGACACATAAAGAGGAAGCTTGAATCACCACAACACAAGCATTTAGAGGTGCAGTTGTCCCTCAAACAACATGGTATCAGAGAATTCAGTTCATGGCCAGCTGCCTCCAAGGCAGGAGCACTATGGCAGAAGGGCTTGGTGCAGCAAAGCCACTCACTTCCTATACCCTAGGAAATAGAGCACAAAAGAAGAGCCCTACAGAGAAGTGATCGGTTCCCAGATATAGACCCCGAATCACACATCAATGCCCCACCCACACACACCCAGAAGAGTGCTTTATTAATCTCTCAGGCATCTCTCAAGTCCATCAAGTTGACAGTGAAGATTTACCTCATATCAGCAGTTTAATGACCTCACTACCCTTTGGATAAGCAGCCGTTTTCCATCCTTAGTTCAGCTGAGTCTAGTGAGACCCACAACAGCCTCCCCAATGTAGGAGTAACCTGATCGATTCATGGATTGATCTCCTAGGGCCCACAGCACTTTGTAAAAACAGAGCAATAAATATCAAGTGCAGAAATTTTGTTTAAAAATATTAAGAAGGGAGATGGATTCCATCGTTCTGAATATTTATAATTAAATAAGATGTTTAAGATCCCTTTGGAGGAAGGCTATGATGTTGTAAGCGTCACCAGGTAGGATTAGCAGAGGATGGCCATGCTTTGATACTGCTTAGTACATTGCTCCACCGTGGGCTTTCTGAAGTTGAGTTGCTGAGATCCTGTCTCCCTCACCAAATGGTCAGCTCTCTCTCCAACACGCCTGCTCCTAGCACAAGAGATGGACCTAAGGTTCAACTGCTGCAGAAACTGTCCTGATGGATCTAGAGGCTAGCATTCATAGTTCTGTCACTGGCAACTCAGATTTCTGAAGCTGTACTGACCAATACCACATCCTACAGTCCCCACCTTACACTCTGGGATTCCTGCTATGGGCTGGAAGCAGGTGGTTTGCTCTGAGTCATCAGCTGTGGTCCCTGCATGATTCTCACACAACCACTCAGCAGACCTCATCAGGGAGAGGCAGGGAGGGTGGGGCACTATCTTAGAAAGCCCCCCATGATGAAGCACATAAGACCAGAGGGAAACATAAGGTAGCTGAGCCAACTCCTCTACTGGGGGCTAAAACACATCAAGCACAGAGCTTCAGAAGCTGTGACTGGGAAGCCTTCTTGGGAAGATGCAGCTGCTCCTGCTCATGTTGACCTTCTTGCTGTCGCCCATGGCAAAGGCAGGTGAGTGACCATCTCCACCTCCCAGAGGCCCAATCCCATTCTACGGAGGACATGGATCCCCTGTCACTCTACACAGCCCTGATCCACCTGTCTACCAAGATTTCTCTGAACCCAAACCCCAATCCCACCAGAGAAACTCATGTAAGACCCCGGATAAACTACCAGCAGCTGATCTTAAGTAGAGCCAGTGGATACTATCCCCTCAGGAGGGCCCATCTTTGTCTTCTGGAGGTTGGGCCTTTATTCCAAGTGCATGCAGAAGATAAGAAGTAGCAAGGAGAAAATATTAAAATCTCCTTTAGAGGCGGGAATGTCTTCTGTGTCTCGGAAGAGAAGGATGCTGCCTTCGTCGACTCCATATCAGAGACATCCAGAGCTCAGTGACCCAGAATGGGAGGAATCACTGTCCTCAGAGCACTACTTTGATCTTTGCTCAGTCCTGTGCTATTCATTCCCTTTTTCCCACTCTGCTTTCCTTGCCAAGTCTTTAATGGCTCCCCTGTCGACCAGTGTGAGCCACTGTGGCAGACCCTACCTCTCTGATTTCCAAATCCCATCAGCACTGCCCTGTCCACCTTCACCTATTACAAACTGGAGCTATTCTTTCATGCAGCCAATGAACAGTCCTGGGGCACCACTATCTGTCAGGCCCTAGGCAAAATAATAAGACAACATCAAGGTTTCAGCTGAGTCCTGCAACCCCCACCCAGCAGAAGACAGTACCATCTCAGGCATCACAGGATTCAGCAAGGTTTTAGATAATCACTGGAAACGAAAAGTCAGCAGAGGGGTTAGGTAAAGCTTCTGGGATTTCATTGTCCTCAGACAGGTATGCTCATCCCCACCATGGAATGAGAAGAAAGATCTCTAGACCAAGACCTGTTTTCCATCCCTAAGCAAAATAAGAAACTGAGGCTTCTTTCTCCAGGTTACCCCCAACTCCAGGCCAACCCAGGCTCCCAAATGCTGAGCAGTTCTGAAGCCATGGAGTACATGCTCATGCAGTGACTTGGTTGGGTGCACAGACAATCATTTTATTTTCAGGTAAGATCATTGGAGGACATGAAGCCAAACCCCACTCCCACCCCTACATGGCCTACCTTCAGACCTACAATGATGAGGGTTCTTCAGTGGTATGTGGAGGCTTCCTGATACAAGAGAAGTTTGTCCTGACAGCTGCCCACTGTAAAGGAAGGTGAGGAACAAAAAACAGCCCACAATCCCTGGGAAACACTTCTCAGAGAGGCTTCTTCCCATTGAGCTCCATGAGCTCCCAGAGACCCACGTGCAGGAGATTCCTTTGAGGGTGAGAAAGGGCCAGCCATGACTCTTGGGGAGGCCAACAAATTGTCACCAAGGATTGCTGACATAAGAAAGACAGGGGCTGATCAAGCCTGCTTCTTTAGACCCAGGAATGTGCTTTCCATATTAATGCAAAGTAAAGCAATTCCATGTGTTTTCTCCAGGCAAATGACCCGTGAGAATCTCTGGTGCCTACAGCCCAAGATCTCAGCCTCAGCTACTAGGATGTAGATGACACATTCAGTCAGCCAGCTGGCCCTGCTATCACATGCAGCTCCACACTCTACCAGCTGTACCCTGCTCCTAATAACTCCTGGGATGTCTTCTTTGGGGTTTCATATCTCTCAACTCACTCTCCTCTGTGCAGCACAATTACTGTCACCCTGGGAGCCCACAACATCAAGGAACCGGAGAAGACTCAGCAGGTCATCACTGTGAGAAAAGCCATCCAACATCCAGAGTATAATTCTAGAATTTTCTCCAACGACATCATGCTGCTGCAGGTAAGGTGCACCTCCCTGCTGCTCTTGCTCTCCTTGTGCAGGGTTGCCCCTTTCACTTGAGGCCCTGCCCCTTCCTCCTTTGTCATCATGGCCATCACAGTATCCAGGCCCAGAAGCCTCAGGCTGATCTGGACTCTTACTTCTTTCCCATCAGCTGGAGAAAAAGGCCAAGCTAAATAGAGATGTGCAGCTCCTCAGGCTGCCCAAGGCCAACTCCCGGGTGAAGCCAGGTGACCTGTGCCAGGTGGCAGGATGGGGACAGTTGGCACAAGAGGGAGAATATCCAAGCACACTGCAAGAGGTGGAGGTGATGGTGCAGAAGGACGAAGAGTGTGAGACTCGCTATAAAGCACATTACAGCAGTGCCATTCAGATGTGTGTGGGGAAGCCAAAAATGAAAAATGCTGCCTTTATGGTAAGACTTGGCATCTGTCACTCTTGGCTTTGGGGGACAGGGTATTTGGAACAGATCTGGGACCAGGAGACCCAATAGTAGAGGACTGCTTCACCGAATAGGCTGTGATGTTTCTCCTGAGTTGAGAAAAAGGGAGGAGCCAGAATTGGGAAATAACTAAGGCTTCTACCACTTACCAAAGGCACTGGTGAATTGAGCCCCTGTGAAAGCATGAGTTTGCAATATTCTGCATTAGAAACAAAGATTAAAGAACAGCTCCTTGAGTGTGCAGGAATTATGACCAGGTGGCTTCTCAGAGCTGGCATCCCTCTTGGTCAGTGGGCTCATCCTCTCTGTTGCATCTCTGGCCCACTCATCTGCCTCCTTGTCCTTAAAGAGAAGCTGGAAAATAATGGTCACACATAACTCTACAGGGGTAAATTTCCAAGAAATGGGTGTGAGGATGAAGGCCGGCCCCCAGAGCGAGGTAAAGCCATCAAAGATGTCCACAGTCAGAGCCTGGCAGCAAAGACCCCAGCAAGTGCATTTCCTTCTAATCTCCCACAAGCAGACTCTACAAGTAGTACTTCAAGAAGGGGCTGGGGATATCAGAGGGGACAAGTCCAGGAGGTGTACTGGCTCACATACTGACTCTCTATTTACAGGGTGACTCTGGAGGCCCCCTGGTGTGTAATAATGTGGTCCAAGGCATTGTTTCTCATGGAGAATGTGACGGGAAACCTCCAAGCATCTATACCAAAGTCTCACATTTTCTACACTGGATAGAAAAAACTATGCAACATCACTTACTGCAGGGAGCAAAATAACCCCAAACATATTTCCTGGAGCTGAATTCAGAATTGTACTAAAGCAGATGGAGCAACTAAATAAATGTCTCAGCTCAGGGAGAAGGCTGGTTTCTTATTTGCTCACTGACTTTCTTTCACAGTAATCAACTCTGTGCTAGGCTGGCCAGTGACACAGTTCTGATTTCTGCCTCCTCCTTTCCTTCTCCAATCAGCACTTTTCCAAATCCCCACTAAAAGCTGTTGGCACCTCCTTCTTAACCACTTTAGTTTCTCCACACCTTGCTCTTCGGGGAGGGATGAAGCTAAGCACCATCAAAAGAAAATGTGAACATTGTCCTAGGGCTCAGAATGAGCATGTTGCCCCTTTATTTGTTATATGGCAGAGGTAAAAAAGGATACATTCATGGTTCCAGGAGATCAGCCAGGCACCCCTGAGTTCATTATGTAGGGACATATCTATTACAATGGATAGGGAAAGGCTGTTTCTGAGCAGGACATTTCTCTCCTGCCACTTTAAGTGGGGTTTGGGATATCCTGGGTGGCTCTTCCTCCTCGCCTGAAATTAGATTCCTTCCCCTTTCTTCCCTAAGACCATGGCTAACCTTGGCTTACAGCCCCCTGGTTACCCATTCTTCTTCATCTCTCCTCAGAGTTGTCACAGCCTACAAACCACTGTCCTCTCTGTGCCACAGTGATTTCAATCCCTACACCAAGGACACACGTGATTCAATGCAAAGCCCATGCAAAACAAGGCTGACAGGATCTTTCTTCAGAACCCCTGGCCCCTTCTTTCACTGGGGTAGGGGTTCTCACCATTCAGTGTCCTTCTAAATTCTCAAGAGCCACTGGTCACTTAGCAATCTGAGCCCCTTTGAACCTATGCCTGTTGATCAGTGCTGGTCTCAAAGCTAAAATTCCTGGGCTATACCAGGCTTATAAATTAAAAGGGCTCCTCTCTGCAAAAGGATAGGAAAGCACAATCTCTGCATCAATCAGCACAAAAATACTCCCTGAGTGTTAAATGCCAGGCCTTAGGGATCTACACTGAACTAAATGACAAAACTAAGTGAAACTGACAGTGATAAAGACCCTTCCAGTTAACTCCTTCTCTGTCCTCCTGATTGGTCCATAAGGCCAAGGCTATATGAGAAATCTAAGGAAATAAAATTATTTTTTTTCTGCTTACAGTTTGCATCAATATTATCACATGACACTCCAAAAGTAGATGAGATTTAGAAATGACCTTAGTCATTTAGTTTCAGATGGGAACTTGGTAAATGATTCACCAAAGAACCTGTTCATATGGGGACATGGGCAGCAGGTAGGTAAGAACATAATTTTGGCAGCCTTATTTTCATTCATTTTAAACATAGCAGATATAAATGTCATTGTACAAATTCAAATTGTAGGAAGCACACATGTCTAATCAGCCTACTGTAAACCACAGTCCCTGTCAATACTACAGTTTCTGCCTATGCAGAGTCAAATGTAGATCCAGGAAGTTGCCACAGCCTGGGAAAATGAAGAAATGCCATAATATTTAGCTCATCATGCTTTTTGATACATCCAAAGTTTCTAACATTACCCAAGCTTCTCTTTGTTGAAAGGTTCTTGGCTTAGTGGACACAAATTGAGTGGCTTTTTGTTAAATAAATGTCTCCCTAGGTGTTGGGTTCACCTTGCTGAACACTTCTAGCAGGCTTCTCTGCAGTGTCAGGTCACTAGGAGGCCACACTGCCTAGCAGAATTTGGCTTCCAGCTAATGTTTCTCTGTCCTAAATATATACCACACCACATTCTTTTGTGACACAGAGTAAAATCTCCCTCTGAGATCCAGTAATTCCCACTGGCATACCCTTTGCCAACTTGTACACAAATGATGATACATCACAATCTCATAATCATCCTGGGCTGCTTTACAAGGGAAGATTTGCTTCTGAATTGGGGCTGAAAACAAAAATTCCTGCACCTAACACCTACTAAGGACCTGGCTCTTTCCTTGGAAAATGCTGAGAAAAAACCTAATAAATACCTTAGAAAGTTGCACAGTCATATACATATGTATATTCAAGTGTTGTTTACTTTGAGTAAGTGGATTTGTACTTTAAACATCTTTGAAAAACTATTGTTGTATGTGGGTTCTCATCTTCCCCTAAAACAAGAGGAAGAAACACATTTCCAGGAAAAGATCCAAACTGACCAAAAGTATGGCAAAACTGGGACAGAGCCTCAACTGAGTCAGGTCCCCTAACCACTAGGCCATCAAGTGGCCTTCATTTTCTAACTCCCAGTCTGAGGTGATTTCCCAGCATCTCCAGACAAAACATAACATTCTGTTTAGATATTTCCATGGAGAGAAACCCTCTGCACTCCTCCTGCAGCTATTGAGTGAGAAGCATTGACCCAGCCACCTTTTGCAGAGTAGAAATCTCCTGAAGCCACTCCAATGCTCCAACATCTGCTCTCCCTCCGGCCCGCTTGGTCCCAATCCACTGGACCGGGTAAGCCATGCCCTCCCCTGCGGGCACCACCATTACTCCAGCACAAGGAAGGTAGATGTGCGGGTGCCCCTGAACACCCCCCCCGACCTCCTGATTGTGCCAGTCCTTGGACCCACTCTGCAGAGACATAGATGGTCATAAAGGTTATTTTTCTGAGCTCCCAATTTTGAACATCTTTAAAGAAAGGGTGGGGGAAAACTGTAGTAGAATTGTGTGGAGTTCAACCCTGCAGGTCAGGGAACTCAATTTGGGCCTTGCGGCCTGAGGTCAGTCTGTATCACGGGGTTCTGCCATCAGCTAGCTGAGATGGGGGGATTTGGTTCTGCACATGGCTGCGCACGTTGCATATTATGACAGCAGAGATGTAGTCTGAAAGATGCCCTTCAAAGTCATTTTTTTCTTTCTTTTCCTTATTCCACTCTGCAAATTCTTACTTTTTTCTGTCCTCTTCCTCCAACTCAGTCTCTTGCTCCACCATATTATCCCTCATTTCCCTTTCTGTTCCTGCTCCTGCCCTAACTCAGATTTTTTCTTTCATCTTTTTTTCTTTTTTCTTTATGTTCTTTTCTTCTGTCATTTTACCTCACTCAAGGATCAACAGTTTCAAGGGAAAGTGAGCCCCTATTACTGTTAATGATATATCATGTTAAGAATATATCTTGTCCTTATACTTGCACTCTGTCTATGCCTTTTGAATTTCACAGTTTCCTAAAGCTTGGGTGGTCAATCTATGTCCTCTGGCTTCACTTGAAATCTTCTCCAATTCTTTTACTTATATACTCCTCTCGTCCTAACTCTGTCTAAGCCCCCATCCTAAATGTCAAATATGCTATATTGAAAAGCTTATTCACTGAAAACATATTTTGGGATGCTTCTTGATTTTAATTTAATTCACATGGTTCAAAGATGATAGATTAATGACTATCACAAGTGGTCAATGTGCAAGTTGTGCTTGATCCTATTGTGTTGCTGATTATATCAATTGGGATAGAGGATTGTGATTGAGTAAACAAGTTGTTTTCTCTGATATTATGAAAATGAGGAGGTCTGTGTGTCATTAGAGACTCAAAAGCTAAAGTGAAACTATATCAAGAAGATGAAATAACCCAGAATTTAAATCAAGGACAACTCAACAACAAAAATAAAAATGAGAAAACACTTAAGCAAGACACAAAGTCAGACTTCCAGTCCACCAATGGCAAACAGTAGGACAAATGAGGATGAAAAATCTGATAGTGAACCACCAGGACACTCTGAACTCACAGCACAGGAAGTAACAAAACAGATCAGTCGGGCTCTAGAAAAATTCAAATCAGAAATAATTTCCCAGATAACCATAGAGATGGTGAGCAAAATGAAAGTCATGATTTGAGACTCTAGAACAGAAACTGACATAGATGAGCTCATGACCAAGATAGAAGCCATGAAGGCCCAGCATAAGAAAGAAATGGAAACAATGAATGCCCAACATAGGAAAGAAATGGAATCCATACAACAGATTCAGATATCCAAGAGATAAAAAAACTCTATTGAAAGTGTTTGCAACAGAAAAAAGAATGCAAAGATAGAATCTCAGATATAGATGATAGGATTGCAGTCAGTGATTGAAAAGAGAGGTCTCTTAAAAACAGTAAGGGATCATGAGAAATCAATCCAACAACTCCTAGATGATGCAAATAAAAATAACATAAGATTTATAGGAATCCATAAGTAGCAGGAGAAAATGCAAATGACTTTAAAAAGCTCTTCACAGAATTAATGACAGAAAACTTCCCAAACAGAGCAAAAGAATATCACATACAGATAAGTGAGGCATATAGGGACTCCAACTAGCCATGATCAAAATAAATCTACACCTAGACATGTAATAATCAAGATTCCAGAAACCCAACGGAAGAACAAAATACTGCAAGCAGTAAGAAACAAATCACATGAAAAGGGAAGCCCATCAGAATCACAGCAGACTTTTGAACACAAACCCTCAGGTCAAGAAGAGCCTGGAGTGAGGTATTTCAAGTCCTAAAAGAAAACAACCTCCAACCTAGACTGATGTATCCTGCAAAATTCTCTTTCAGAATGGATGGGAAAAGAACATACTTCCATGACAAAGAACACCTGAGAAACTTCATGAATACCAAACCAGCACTGCAAGAAATTCTACACAATATCCTTGAAATACACAATGAAGGCCCCAACACCATGAGGCCCAACAGAGTGAATCAAATAGCCAAGGCAAGAAACTAAAAGGAGAGGGGAAAAAAATTAAAAAGAGCCAATAAAAGGACAATAACATGACAATAATAAGTCAGTACATATCAGTTATAACCATCAGTATCAATGGCCTCAATTCACCATTCAAGAGAACTAGAATGGCAGAATGGATTAAGAAGCAAAATCCAACAATATGTTGTATACAAGAAATACACCTAGTGAAAAAGAAGCCCATAGACTGAAAGTGAAAGGATGGAAACAATTCTTCATGCAACAGGAGCCCAGAAAAAAGCAGGGGTAGCAATC